ATAGGTAGGTTAGCTTGCTGTTGGGGTCTGGATGATAGAGACTGGGTGGGACAGGCCCTGGAGTCCTCCCACAGTCACTCCCTGCCCTGATCAGGACTGGGCAAGATGGGCCAGACATGCCCTGGAGCCCTCTCACAATCTGGGTCCCCTAAGGGGATGTCAGAGAGCCAGTTTCCACTTAGTCTGGGCTGAAGGAACCTGCCCGGTGTACAAATCTGTGTACCAAGTCTCTAGTATATGAAATAAAATGAATTGGTCTAAAAGAAACATAAAAAAAATCATTATAGGTGCTAATGTGCTGAGTGAAAGAAATAAGATTGAGAGGCTAAATGACATTAAATCAGATCTGGCCCTTTTCCCTTCTTTTTTTCCTCCTCTCCAGTGCATGAGCCATCTTATCTTACCCCTTCTCTCTAAAATAAATCCACAACCACAGCCACAGCCACATCCATATGCAACTTTTTTTGTATAAGCTTATTGATTATGAACAAGAGGGCTAAAAATACTTTCAGGCAGAGATAACAGAACTGGCTGTCCTTTAATGTAGCCAAGAAGGTGGATTATAACAACTTGTTACAGTAAGTATAAAAAAAAGGAAATGAAATATAATACAGATTTTAATAACTAAGGTGCTGATGATTGGAAATAAAGGTCAAGTCAGCTGTTATTTTTTTAATTTTTTAAAAATATATTTGATTTTTCACAGAGTGGAAGAGAGAAACATTGATGAGAGAGAATCATTGATCAGCTGCCTCTTGCACAACCCCTACTGGGGATGTGCCCGCAACCAAGGTACATGCCCTTGCCCGGAATCGAACCTGGGACCTTTCAGTCCGCAGGCCGACGCTCTATCCACTGAGCCAAACCAGTCCCAGCCAGTCAGCTGTTATTATAAGGTAACTCATTTTATCTCTATGTTCATGTCCCCTTGATTTCTTGGGGGAGGGAGGAAGTACTGTCTTACAGATATCAGAAAAAGTTGCTGCCAAGCCATCTCCTAACTTACACATCTCTTAGAGCACCTTAATAGGCATCTGACATGCATGTTTCATAAAACATACATGGCTTGAAAACAACACACCCTTAGAAAATAACTTTAAAAATGGAGTGAGATGTTACTTTGAAACAGTCTTTCCCCCGCTTAAACTTAGCTTATATACATATACAAAATGTTTTCAGGATCACTACAAGTGAGCAGAATTTAGTAGACAATGCAATTCTAGTAAGCCTCCTAAAATTGCCCTTTGAGGTTGATGCAGTTTTCCTCTATTAAGTGAATTAGCTTAGGTTTATTACTGCTAGAATAATCACTTTAAATTCTGATTAAGGGATATGCAGGGCCACTCCAGACAAACTGCCAAGTCAGCAGCAACCTCAATCTTCCAGGAAAGCCTCTGAGAATTCTATACGGGTAAATTCTACACTGGCTCTAGGGTAGGGATGGGGACCATCAGGCTCTTAGGCAGTTTAAGGCCTTCAAAATCATCTCGTCTGGCTCTGATAAGGATTAGGGTTCAGTTAAATGTTTGACCAAATAAAGCAGGCTAATTTTTAAGTTGATAATGTTGTATGGCCCTCTGATGATGTTATAAATATCCAAATGGCTCTTGGCAGAAAAAAAATTCCCTTTTCTCTGCTCTAGGGAAAGCATTTTTATTTACAGTGTAGCTAATAAATAGTTTATCAAAGCAACTTTTAAGATAAAAGCAAATTTGATTAAAAATATATTTTAAATCAATTTAAGAAAAATAATATTTAAAGCAACTCTTAGGAAGGAAAGTAAAGAAATCCGATAACTTTTTATAAAAAAATCTGATTAAAAAAACCCTCTATAGTTTTTATCTATTTTGATGGATACCAGGTACTATGTTAAAATATTAAATTCATTCTTCAGAGAAATCCTTAGCAATATTTTGTGACTAGTGTAGCAATGACTTTTAGTACACTTTGTATTGAATGGTCTCACATCTTTGTATGAATGTTCTTTAACTCATGATATCTGATTAAAAAAAAAAATCAATTTACTCCTGGGCTTATAAACCCCATTTTCTTTTAGTTTCTACATTTCTAATGCCTCTTGATTATAAAAAAAAAAAAAATTATGGTAAGAAAAATGTTCAATGAAATCTTTTTAGAGACTATGATTTATTGGAGTTATCTGATTATTTTTTAAAGGCACAGTCTCAAGAAAATTGAAGGAACTTTTGACCTGTAGCTGCATAAAAATTACACTTTTCAATTGTAACAAAAACACAATCTTTTGCATACTTGCAGGATAAAGTACATGAAGATAACCTACCAACAAACTCATTACAATATCAAATGATAAATTGCCAATTGTAACAAAAAAAAGTGGATCTGCTTAAAAAAATAACAAGAATATGTTTCATTTTATTTAAGCCATATTTTGGAAAACAATATTATAAATGTCCAAAGGCAATTTCTATTATAAAGAACCCAACTTTTAAATTTATTTATAAAGCAGAGGTAATGCCAAAGTTACTTTTTTGCAGATTTAAATTTATTTGAATTGTTTAAAATGCCACTTGCGTTATTATTAAGTACCATGAGCAGTTTCATGTTAAAAGTCAGAAGTCTTGTTACTGCAAATTTGAACAGAAAGAGCACTAGAATAATGCATAAATACTTATTCAGTTGTTTTCGAAGAATGATAAATTTCAATAGTAGTCCATTAATACTCTAACAGACAAGTCATAAAACTAGATATTAACTATTTTTTATATATGATTACTTGAGACAGATTCAATTCTATCTCCATGTGCCAGTAGCTCTCCGTGGGACCTGGCCACTCCACACCAGCCGCCCAGAGGCTCTTCGTGGCTCAGAGGCCCATTCGCACCCCAGCCAGGACAGAAGCCCATTTGCAGCCACGCGTGGAATGCTTGCCTCATTGCTGGGGCAACGATGCAAGCATTCCTCACCCCTGTCCAGAGGCCCTCCGTGGACACTGCAATGAGGCAAGCATTCCACCAGGCCACTCATGCTGCCTGCTCTCAGCAGCCACCCCCCTGGGACTGGGACTCTGGCGGGGCTGAAAGGACTGGGTGCCGCCATATTTGTGATGGAATGAGTTAATTTGCATAATACCATTTTATTAGATAGGATATATTTTATTGATTTCAGAGAGGAAGGGAAAGGGAGAGAAAGAGATAGAAACATCAATGATGAGTGTCACTGATCAGTTGCCTCCTGCATGCCCCACACTAAGAATTGAGCCCGCAATCTGGGCATGCATATGCCCTGACCAGGAATCGAACTGTGATCTCCTGGTTCATAGGTCCATGCTCAACCAGTGAGCCATGCTGGCCAGGCAAGATTCAATTCTTATAGTTTATAAAATATAATTTATATTGTTTAATATATATTAAAGGCCTCTGAGAGGCTGCTGATCAGCCCCACCTCTCTGATCAGGCCCAGAGACGCTACTGGCATAGAAATGGACCAGAATGAAATCTGGGTGAACTGTAAGGAGCCAATGGCTGCCTAGGAGGTGGAGCTTTTGACACTGAATGGCATAGAAACCAACCAATCAGAACCAAATCTGGATAAAGTGTGAGGAGTGAATGGCTGCCTAGGAGGCAAAGCTTTTGACACTGACTGGCATAGAAACGGACTAGTCAGAACCTAATCTGGGTGAACTGCGAAGGCAGAACCTAAGGTGGGAGCTGAGGAGGGGTTTTAAGGGCAATAGTTATTTGGTGTAAGGTGTAAGAAAGTGGTTCAATTTTTTAATGACAAGTTTGGCAGTACAGTGCACATGGCTGGCTATCAGTCCAAATATAGGGATTAGGTATCTTTGTCTGCCAAGAGCATCTCCTCTTGCTGAAAAAGGCTCCCCCTATTTAAGCAATCCTATATTATATAATCTATCTATATTAATAAAAGGTTAACATGCTAACTAGACTGGGTCAACCGGCCATCATCTGGACTCCCGACTTCCTTCCGGACAAAGCCGTGGTGGTGGGGGCTGAGGCAGAGAGGGCAGTTGGAGGGGAGATCAGGCTGGCAGGGGAGGGCCTTTGGGGGTGAGATCAGCCTGGCAGGGAAGGGAAGTTGGGGGCAAGATCAGGCTTGTAGGGGAGAGCAGTTAGGGTAAGATCAGGCTGTTGGAGAGGGCCGTTAGGGGTAACCAGGCCAGCAGAGGTGGGCAGTTGGGGGCGAGATCAGGCTGGCAGGGGAGAAGAGCTGCGGGTGAAATCAGGCCAGCAAGGAAAGGTAGTTAAGGGTGATCAGGCAGGCAGGCAGAGGCAGTTAGGGGCAATCAGGCAGGCAGGTGAGCCAGTGGTCCCAGATTGTGAGAGGGATGTCTGACTGCCAGACATCCCCCAAGGGATTCCCAATTAGAGAGGGTGCAGGCTTGCTGAGAGATAACCACCCCCCCATGCACGAATTTCATGCACTAGGCCACTAATCTATTATAACAATAAACGTGCTAATTACACCAGACGTGCTTCTGGATGGAACCAGGGCTGTGACGGAAGCCCAGGTCCCAAGTGCCAGAATGAAGATGGTGCTGGCAGCTGGGGGGAGGAAGACCTACTTTTGCATGAATATCGTGCATCAGACCATAGTTAAGATTATATATGAACTTGGATAAACTGCTTATCTTTCTATGCCTCAGTTTCATCATCTATTGAGAAGAAAAAATAATAGTACCTATTTCATAAAGCTAGTGTGATGATTAAAAGCAGTTAATCTTTATAAAGAACTTAAAATAATGCCATACACATTATTCAATAACTGTGTGCTATTATGATAGTTGTTCTGGGTTTTCTTGTTGAATGCAACAAATGCAAAATTCTCTTCTCTTGTTGGGGCTAAGTTTATAAGTCAAAGGGGACAATGAAAATAGCTCATTAGAGCATAGTAATGATTTCTAACTTACCAGTTACCCGATTTATTATGATATTTTCACTTTCTTGTGCTTATAGCAATTAAAATTAGATGCATAAAAACAATAAGAACTAGAGATTACCTACCTGTGCAACTCTTCTGTTTTGTCTTCAGTTGGACCTGCAATTAGTAAACAATGGCGAAGGACAGCTGCCATGACACGGAACTGATGAGATTCACTCTATGGCACATAAAAAAGAGATGAAAAATTAGAGATTGAATGCCTTACTGAAGGAGTTTGGTACATCACTACATCCCTGGGAATTTATTATGGCCTATCTGCCCTTCAAAACAGTCATTCTTATCCCATACATAAAGAGGGCATAGTCATTCTCACATCAGTAGCTACAGCCACTCCAGAAATAGCTGAAACCAGTAGTTGTTGATCTAGCCACTCCCTTGCAGGGGTGGGGATCCTTTTTTTCTGCCAACAGCTATTTGGATATTTATAATATCATTCAAGGGCCATACAAAATTACCGAATTAAAAATTAGGCTGCTATATTTGATCAAACATTTAATTAACTGACCCCTATGCCTTGACAGGGCCAGACCAAATGATTTTGAGGGCATTATACTGCCTAAGGGCTGGATGTTCCCCACTCCTGCTTAGAGCATGTCAGGAAAAGAGAGATAGGATAGCACCCACTCACTCTTTCACCTTAAGACCAATTCAACGAGGGATCTTTTACATTTCTAGAAAAGCCTAGATTATTTTGTTTGATAGTATATTGTTCCAGATTACTAGTCATTAGAAAAGTTCATACAGATGTAATGCTATCAGATATTTTAGGAACAGGTTGTATATCCTTAATAAAAATATCTCATCTCTTAACTTTCTAAAGTAATGGATTAAAATCTATAATCTATCGACTTTATTTTAATGAACCATCTTAATCTCCTAGTTTCTCCAAATCTTGCTAAGTCTCCCCAGAATTACCAGCAAGTGATGAAAAACAGGTGACCTGAGTTAAACTATTTTTCCAATGTTTACTCATTGGTAGTGGTGTTAAAAACAGTAGGAAATAAGCTAAGCTCGGAATAATCACTTGGTTTACTACCTTATTTTTAGTGAGATCTCGGGTCACTACAATTTCTATAATTACCCACATCAAGATCCTATCTATCTTCTTCCAGAATTTTAGTAATTAAGAAGACATAAAATTAATAATTATGATAGCAATTCCAGATAGACTATACTTCAGAAAGGCTACTTCAAAAGTACTGAAATATATATATATATGATTTAAAGTCCATATGAAGTAGAATATGCTCACATATTATACACATATACCCTATATTCATATATATAATTCAGCCCTTCTAGGAAGAATATCTCTTATAAAATCTAACAAGCAGTAGGGCACATTTTCATTACTCATAATGCAGATGACAATATTTTAAACAGAACACCATTGTGGGTAGATGCAGTGGCATAATAGAAAAAGCACTGCACTTGGTGTCAGGCCTTTAGGTTGTGACCTTAGGACAAACCATATAGCTTCTTTGAGTCAAAGCTTCCCAACATGCATCTCCAAAAGCAAGAGCTTGTTAGGTTAAGAAAGAATTAAAGAAGATGAAACACATAAAAGTGCTCAGTATTTTCAAAATATGCTTTTATTGATTTTAGAGATAGGAAGGGAGAGGGAGGGGAACATCAATGAGACAGAAACATTGATCATCTACCTCTTGCATGCTCCTACAGGGAATCCAGCCTGCAACCCAGGCATGTGCCCTGAATGGGAATCAAAACGGTGACCTCTTGGTGGTATGGGATAATGCTCAACCAACTGAAGGTGCTCAATACATTCAATGAAACATTTGAAGGTGAGGAGCAAGAATGAGGGAGAAAGGAAACAACAAAAAGTGAGATTGATAGAGCTGAAATGAGTGATATTGAAATAACTGTGTGGTGGTGGAACAGGAAAGAATAAAGGAGAAAAGGGACCAGTGCAATGCCAGACATGAAGGCTGGCAGGGTTGGAATGAATGCTGTCCCTTTTGCCATCTATCTTCAAATGCTTGAGTCAAAATTCTCTAATATGTAAATACTAGAGGCCCAGTGCACAAAATTTGTGCATGAGGAGGGGGTCCCTCAGCCTGGCCTGCACCCTCTCCAATCCAGGATCCCATGGGGTTATGTCTGACTGCTGATTTAGGACTGATCCTGGGAATCGGGCCTAAACTGGCAGTTGAACATCCCTCTCACAATCTGGAACTACAGGCTCCTAACCGCTTGCCTGACTGCCAGCCTGATGGCCCCCAACTGCCTTCCCCTGCCAGCCTGATCTCCCTAACTGCTTCTGCCTGAGCCCCCACCACTGTGGCTTTGTCTGAAAAAAAGATATCTGGTCACCTGGTCTAATTAATGTATTACCTTTTATTAGTATAGATACTTTTATTTACCCCAAATTATACCAAGCACAAAACTCATCTATTACTTAATCACATTTTCTTGGTTTGAAAATTAACTGGGAATTTACTTCCTTTTAAACTAATTTTCCTTTATTCTAGGTATCACAGGCCTTTTGCAAAACTATCCTTTTTGGTTTTTCCATTATTTGCAACTGTAAACCCCAGACTCTACTTCCTTCTATCCCATTTCCTCCTGTCCCAATTTTCATAATACCAATTCCCAAGTTGTAACCTAGATTTGCCATATCCTCCTTTTATAATAAATCCACTAAATCCTATTTCTCCACTCAAAACAACTACTGAAGTCCCTGATTGTTCCCTCCACTCTTGGCATCGGGTTCCTTTTGAGACTCTAGGTCTCAACTGAAATCTGAGAGAAGCCGCTTCTTTGACCACCTTATCTAAAGTAGATTCTTTCCTTCATTATTTTCTATCACTACATCTTGTTAGAATTTTTTTCAAGAAATCAAAATTTGTAATTCCACATTATATACACGGTTTCCTCCATAACCTATTACCTTCACAAGTTTAAAGGGTATGTATATAACAGGTGTTCAATCAATTTTTAAAATTTAGTGATTTTGAGAAAGAGGAAGGAGAGAGAGAGCGAGAGCGAGCGAGCGAGAGAGAGAGAGAGAGAGAGAGAGAGAGATCAATCTGTTGTTCCACTTATTTATGCATTCATTTATGCATCTTATATGTGCCCAGAATACGGATCAAACTCACAACCTTGGAGTATTGGGTTGATGTTCTAACCAACTAAGTTATTCGACCAGGGCTCGATTATTTGTAATATAAATGGTAAAAAACAAAACAAAACAAAATGTGCCCAAATTATAAGTGTACATCTAGATCAATTTTCACAAAATGAGCACATTCATATAATTAACACAAAAAATGATGCAATGCTAAGATTAAGAAACCCAGAATTCCCTCTTGGCTCCTTCCAATGATATTCCTCCTCTATTCAATGGTAATCATAATGTATCACATCATAGGCTTGTAGTTTTGTTGTCACTAAACCTTACATGAATGGAATCATAAAATATAGACTCCTTTGTATCTGGTTGTGAAATTCATCCGTGCTGTTGCGTGTAGGTATAATTTGTTCAGTTCATTGCTTGAAAGCAGTGCTATTTGCAGTGCAGTTTGTGAACCACTGCTGGTCTACACCCTGTTTGCCACTGATCATGAGTACAGAAGGTGCACGTGAGCATTTAAAAAATTTCTGAGCAGTTTGACATTGTGTGTAATATATTATGTAAGAGTTTCATTCTGACAGCTAGGGGGAAACCTGGTCCTTTACCACAGTTAGGTTAAGAAAACACTGCTGCATACAATGAATACATTACAATTTACTTATCCAAACTACTCTTGGTGAACATTTGGATTATTTCCAGGCTTGGGTTATATTGAAGAGTGCTGTTATGAACATACTTCTTTACATGCCATTTGGTATGCTGGGTCACAGGGCATATACATATGTGAAGCTTTAGAAGATACTGTCTGCCAAACAGTATTTCAAAGTGTTTAAATCAATTTATACTCTCACCAGTTTTCTACAGCTATGCCAACAATTGGTATTGTTAGCCTATTTAATTTTAGTCATTCTTGTGTGCAGTGTCTCATGGTTTTATTATGCATTTTCCTGATGAACACCTTTTCATATGTCTTTTGGTCATCTGAACAGCTCTTTAGTAAAGGAACTGTTCAAGCCTTTTGCCTATTTTTCTATTGGGTTGACTGACTTACTTATACGTATTTGTAGGAGTTTTTAATGTATTCTGGATAAAGTCCTTTTTTGCGTATATGTGTTGCAAATATCTTCTTCCACTTGGTGGCTTACCTTTTTACTTTCTTTTCTTGATGGACTCAATTGTCAACTTCCCCTCTATGGTTTGATCTTTATTTTATCCTGTTTTAGAAATCTTTGCCTATTTAAGAAATGTTTGACTTGTTTAAGATAAAGTCATGAAGATAATCTTTTGTTTTCTTCTAAGAACTTCATTATTTTGCCTTTTATATTTAATTCCCTTATCCACATTAAAACAATTGTGTCTGGTACAAGGTAGAGATTTACATTTGTTTTTTCCATACAGCCACACAATTGCAATTTATTAAAAAGCTCACCTTCCTTCCACTGTACTTCAATGTTACCAATATCATAAATCAGTTGACTGCATATGTGTAGGTTTGTTTCTAGAATTTTTATTTGACTCAACAGTCTAGGTCTCAACAATATTTGTTGAATGAGTGCTATCATTTAAGAAGTATTATATAACAAAGGTTACAGTGAATACTATTTCCTTCTGGTTTTTTTTTTTAATCCTCACCCAAGGATATTTTTCCAGTGATTTTTCAGAGGGAAAAAGAGAGGGAAAGATAGAAACTTCGTTGCTAGAGAAACACATCAATTGGTTGCCTCCTGTATGTACTTGGACCAGAGTTTGGGCCAGGGAAGAGCCAGCAACCCAGGCATGTGCCCTTGACTAGAATCAAACCCAGGACCCTTCATTCTGCAGACAGATGCTCTATTCAGTGAGCCAAACCAGCTATAGCCCTACCGGTATTGTTGTTTATTTTGCTGTGTGATTTTTCCATAAACAATTTAAACTCTCTGATTTTTATTTAGTGTCCTCATTTCTCAAATGGAGTTAATGTTACTAGCTTAGAAGGATGATAGAAGGTTTGAAAATAATCTATATTAATAAAAGCCTAGGTGGCCCTTGAGCCCTCATGCACGATGTCGTCACAAGATGGCCACCAC